CAGCAGCAACAACAACTGCTGCTCCAACAACAACAACCACTGCTGCAACAACAACACCTGCTCCGACTGCAACAACGGCAGCAACGACAACAGGTGCTTCAACCACAACCACTGCTGCAACAACAACAGCTGGTCCAACAACAACGGTAGCAACGACGACAGCTGCTCCAACCACAACCACTGCTGCAACAACGACACCTGCTCCAACGACAACACCTGCTCTGACTACAACCACTGCTGCAACTACGACAGCTGCTTCAACTACAACCACTGCTGCAACAACAACAGCAGCAACAACAACTGCTGCTCCAACAACAACAACCACTGCTGCAACGACAACACCTGCTCCGACTGCAACAACGGCAGCAACGACAACAGGTGCTTCAACCACAACCAGTGCTGCAACAACAACACCTTCTCCAACCACAACCACTGCTGCAACAACGACAGCTGCTCCAATGACAACACCTGCTCCAACGACAACACCTGCTCCAACGACAACACCTGCTCCGACTACAACAACGGCAGCAACGACAACTGCTGGTCCAACAACAACCACTGCTGCAACAACAACACCTGCTCCGACTACAACCACTGCTGCAACAACGACAGCTGCTCCAACTAGAACCACTGCTGCAACAACAACAGCAGCAGCAACAACAACTGCTGCTCCAACAACAACAACCACTGCTGCAACAACAACACCTGCTCCGACTACAACAACGGCAGCAACGACAACAGGTGCTCCAACCACAACCACTGCTGCAACGACAACAGGTGCGCCAACTACAACAACGGCAGCAATGAAGGCTACTGGTCCAACAACAACCACTCCTGCAACGACAACAGCTGCTCAGACTACAACAATCGCACTAACAACAACCACTGCTGCAACTACGACAGCTGCTCCGACTACAACCACTGCTGCAACAACGACAGCTGCTCCAACTACAACACCTGCTCCAACGACAACACCTGCTCAGACTACAACAACGGCAGCAACGACAACTGCTGGTCCAACAACAACCACTGCTGCAACAACAACACCTGCTCCGACTACAACCACTGCTGCAACAACGACAGCTGCTCCAACTACAACCACTGCTGCAACGACAACACCTGCTCAGACTACAACAACGGCAGCAACGACAACTGCTGGTCCAACAACAACCACTGCTGCAACAACAACACCTGCTCCAACTACAACCACTGCTGCAACAACAACAGCAGCAACAACAACTGTTGCTCCAACAACAACAACCACTGCTGCAACAACAACACCTGCTCCGACTACAACAACGGCAGAAACGACAACAGGTGCTCCAACCACAACCACTGCTGCAACGACAACAGGTGCGCCGACTACAACAACGGCAGCAACGAAGGCTGCTGGTCTAACAACAACCACTCCTACAACGACAACAGCTGCTAAGACTACAACAATCGCACCAACCACAACCACTGCTGCAACTACGACAGCTGCTCTGACTACAACCACTGCTGCAACAACAACAGCTGGTCCAACAACAACGGTAGCAACAACGACAGCTGCTCCAACCACAACCACTGCTGCAACAACGACACCTGCTCCAACGACAACACCTGCTCCGACTACAACAACGGCAGCAACGACAACTGCTGGTCCAACAACAACCACTGCTGCAACAACAACACCTGCTACGACTACAACCACTGCTGCAACAACGACAGCTACTCCAACAACAACCACTGCTGCAACAACAACAGCAGCAACAACAACTGCTGCTCCCAACCACAACCACTGCTGCAACAACAACACCTTCTCTGACTACAACCACTGCTGCAACAACAACAGCTGGTCCAACAACAACGGTAGCAACGACGACAGCTGCTCCAACCACAACCACTGCTGCAACAACGACACCTGCTCCAACGACAACACCTGCTCTGACTACAACCACTGCTGCAACTACGACAGCTGCTTCAACTACAACCACTGCTGCAACAACAACAGCAGCAACAACAACTGCTGCTGCAACAACAACAACCACTGCTGCAACGACAACACCTGCTCCGACTGCAACAACGGCAGCAACGACAACAGGTGCTTCAACCACAACCACTGCTGCAACAACAACACCTTCTCCGACTACAACCACTGCTGCAACAACGACAGCTGCTCCAACTACAACACCTGCTCCAACGACAACACCTGCTCAGACTACAACAACGGCAGCAACGACAACTGCTGGTCGAACGACAACCACTGCTGCAACAACAACAGCAGCAACAACAACTGCTGCTCCAACAACAACAACCACTGCTGCAACAACAAAACCTGCTCAGACTGCAACAACGGCAGCAACGACAACAGGTGCTTCAACCACAACCACTGCTGCAACAACAACAGCTGGTCCAACAACAACCGGTAGCAACGACGACAGCTGCTCCAACCACAACCACTGCTGCAACAACGACACCTGCTCCAACGACAACACCTGCTCTGACTACAACCACTGCTGCAACTACGACAGCTGCTTCAACTACAACCACTGCTGCAACAACAACAGCAGCAACAACAACTGCTGCTCCAACAACAACAACCACTGCTGCAACGACAACACCTGCTCCGACTGCAACAACGGCAGCAACGACAACAGGTGCTTCAACCACAACCAGTGCTGCAACAACAACACCTTCTCCGACTACAACCACTGCTGCAACAACGACAGCTGCTCCAATGACAACACTGCTCCAACGACAACACCTGCTCCAACGACAACACCTGCTCTGACTACAACAACGGCAGCAACGACAACTGCTGGTCGAACGACAACCACTGCTGCAAAAACAACACCTGCTCCGACTACAACCACTGCTGCAACAACGACAGCTGCTCCAACTAGAACCACTGCTGCAACAACAACAGCAGCAGCAACAACAACTGCTGCTCCAACAACAACAACCACTGCTGCAACAACAACACCTGCTCCGACTACAACAACGGCAGCAACGACAACAGGTGCTTCCAACCACAACCACTGCTGCAACGACAACAGGTGCGCCAACTACAACAACGGCAGCAATGAAGGCTACTGGTCCAACAACAACCACTCTGCAACGACAACAGCTGCTCAGACTACAACAATCGCACTAACACAACCACTGCTGCAACAACGACAGCTGCTCCGACTACAACCACTGCTGCAACAAGGACAGCTGCTCCAACTACAACACCTGCTCCAACGACAACAGGTGCGCCGACTACAACAACCACTGCTGCAACAACAACACCTGCTCTGACTACAACAACTGCTGCAACAACGACAGCTGCTCCAACTAGAACCACTGCTGCAACGACAACACCTGCTCAGACTACAACAACGGCAGCAACGACAACTGCTGGTCCAACAACAACCACTGCTGCAACAACAACACCTGCTCCAACTACAACTCAACCACTGCTGCAACAACAACAGCAGCAACAACAACTGTTGCTCCAACAACAACAACCACTGCTGCAACAACAACACCTGCTCCGACTACAACAACGGCAGAAACGACAACAGGTGCTCCAACCACAACCACTGCTGCAACGACAACAGGTGCGCCGACTACAACAACGGCAGCAACGAAGGCTGCTGGTCTAACAACAACCACTCCTACAACGACAACAGCTGCTAAGACTACAACAATCGCACCAACCACAACCACTGCTGCAACTACGACAGCTGCTCTGACTACAACCACTGCTGCAACAACAACAGCTGGTCCAACAACAACGGTAGCAACAACGACAGCTGCTCCAACCACAACCACTGCTGCAACAACGACACCTGCTCCAACGACAACACCTGCTCCGACTACAACAACGGCAGCAACGACAACTGCTGGTCCAACAACAACCACTGCTGCAACAACAACACCTGCTCCGACTACAACCACTGCTGCAACAACGACAGCTACTCCAACAACAACCACTGCTGCAACAACAACAGCAGCAACAACAACTGCTGCTCCAACAACAACAACCACTGCTGCAACAACAACACCTGCTCCGACTACAACCACTGCTGCAACAACAACAGCTGGTCCAACAACAACGGTAGCAACGACGACAGCTGCTCCAACCACAACCACTGCTGCAACAACGACACCTGCTCCAACGACAACACCTGCTCTGACTACAACCACTGCTGCAACTACGACAGCTGCTTCAACTACAACCACTGCTGAAACAACAACAACAGCAGCAACAACAACTGCTGCTCCAACAACAACAACCACTGCTGCAACGACAACACCTGCTCCGACTGCAACAACGGCAGCAACGACAACAGGTGCTTCAACCACAACCACTGCTGCAACAACAACACCTTCTCCGACTACAACCACTGCTGCAACAACGACAGCTGCTCCAACTACAACACCTGCTCCAACGACAACACCTGCTCAGACTACAACAACGGCAGCAACGACAACTGCTGGTCCAACAACAACCACTGCTGCAACAACAACACCTGCTCCGACTACAACCACTGCTGCAACAACGACAGCTACTCCAACAACAACCACTGCTGCAACAACAACAGCAGCAACAACAACTGCTGCTCCAACAACAACAACCACTGCTGCAACAACAACACCTGCTCCGACTGCAACAACGGCAGCAACGACAACAGGTGCTTCAACCACAACCACTGCTGCAACAACAACAGCTGGTCCAACAACAACGGTAGCAACGACGACAGCTGCTCCAACCACAACCACTGCTGCAACAACGACACCTGCTCCAACGACAACATCTGCTCTGACTACAACCACTGCTGCAACTACGACAGCTGCTTCAACTACAACCACTGCTGCAACAACAACAGCAGCAACAACAACTGCTGCTCCAACAACAACAACCACTGCTGCAACGACAACACCTGCTCCGACTGCAACAACGGCAGCAACGACAACAGGTGCTTCAACCACAACCAGTGCTGCAACAACAACACCTTCTCCAACCACAACCACTGCTGCAACAACGACACCTGCTCCAATGACAACACCTGCTCCAACGACAACACCTGCTCCAACGACAACACCTGCTCTGACTACAACAACGGCAGCAACGACAACTGCTGGTCGAACGACAACCACTGCTGCAACAACAACACCTGCTCCGACTACAACCACTGCTGCAACAACGACAGCTGCTCCAACTAGAACCACTGCTGCAACAACAACAGCAGCAGCAACAACAACTGCTGCTCCAACAACAACAACCACTGCTGCAACAACAACACCTGCTCCGACTACAACAACGGCAGCAACGACAACAGGTGTTCCAACCACAACCACTGCTGCAACGACAACAGGTGCGCCAACTACAACAACGGCAGCAATGAAGGCTACTGGTCCAACAACAACCACTCCTGCAACGACAACAGCTGCTCAGACTACAACAATCGCACTAACAACAACCACTGCTGCAACTACGACAGCTGCTCCGACTACAACCACTGCTGCAACAACGACAGCTGCTCCAACTACAACACCTGCTCCAACGACAACACCTGCTCAGACTACAACAACGGCAGCAACGACAACTGCTGGTCGAACGACAACCACTGCTGCAACAACAACACCTGCTCCGACTACAACCACTGCTGCAACAACGACAGCTGCTCCAACTAGAACCACTGCTGCAACGACAACACCTGCTCAGACTACAACAACGGCAGCAACGACAACTGCTGGTCCAACAACAACCACTGCTGCAACAACAACACCTGCTCCAACTACAACCACTGCTGCAACAACAACAGCAGCAACAACAACTGTTGCTCCAACAACAACAACCACTGCTGCAACAACAACACCTGCTCCGACTACAACAACGGCAGAAACGACAACAGGTGCTCCAACCACAACCACTGCTGCAACGACAACAGGTGCGCCGACTACAACAACGGCAGCAACGAAGGCTGCTGGTCTAACAACAACCACTCCTACAACGACAACAGCTGCTAAGACTACAACAATCGCACCAACCACAACCACTGCTGCAACTACGACAGCTGCTCTGACTACAACCACTGCTGCAACAACAACAGCTGGTCCAACAACAACGGTAGCAACAACGACAGCTGCTCCAACCACAACCACTGCTGCAACAACGACACCTGCTCCAACGACAACACCTGCTCCGACTACAACAACGGCAGCAACGACAACTGCTGGTCCAACAACAACCACTGCTGCAACAACAACACCTGCTACGACTACAACCACTGCTGCAACAACGACAGCTACTCCAACAACAACCACTGCTGCAACAACAACAGCAGCAACAACAACTGCTGCTCCAACAACAACAACCACTGCTGCAACAACAACACCTGCTCCGACTACAACCACTGCTGCAACAACAACAGCTGGTCCAACAACAACGGTAGCAACGACGACAGCTGCTCCAACCACAACCACTGCTGCAACAACGACACCTGCTCCAACGACAACACCTGCTCTGACTACAACCACTGCTGCAACTACGACAGCTGCTTCAACTACAACCACTGCTGAACAACAACAACAGCAGCAACAACAACTGCTGCTCCAACAACAACAACCACTGCTGCAACGACAACACCTGCTCCGACTGCAACAACGGCAGCAACGACAACAGGTGCTTCAACCACAACCACTGCTGCAACAACAACACCTTCTCCGACTACAACCACTGCTGCAACAACGACAGCTGCTCCAACTACAACACCTGCTCCAACGACAACACCTGCTCAGACTACAACAACGGCAGCAACGACAACTGCTGGTCGAACGACAACCACTGCTGCAACAACAACACCTGCTCCGACTACAACCACTGCTGCAACAACGACAGCTGCTCCAACTAGAACCACTGCTGCAACAACAAACAGCAGCAACAACAACTGCTGCTCCAACAACAACAACCACTGCTGCAACAACAACACCTGCTCCGACTACAACAACGGCAGCAACGACAACAGGTGCTCCAACCACAACCACTGCTGCAACGACAACAGGTGCGCCAACTACAACAATGGCAGCAATGAAGGCTACTGGTCCAACAACAACCACTCCTGCAACGACAACAGCTGCTCAGACTACAACAATAGCACTAACCACAACCACTGCTGCAACTACGACAGCTGCTCCGACTACAACCACTGCTGCAACAACGACAGCTGCTCCAAACTACAACACCTGCTCCAATGACAACACCTGCTCAGACTACAACAACGGCAGCAACGACAACTGCTGGTCCAACGACAACCACTGCTGCAACAACAACACCTGCTCCGACTACAACCACTGCTGCAACAACAACAGCTGCTCCAACTAGAACCACTGCTGCAACGACAACACCTGCTCAGACTACAACAACGGCAGCAACGACAACTGCTGGTCCAACAACAACCACTGCTGCAAAAACAACACCTGCTCCAACTACAACCACTGCTGCAACAACGACACCTGCTCCAACGACAACACCTGCTCAGACTACAACAACGGCAGAAACGACAACTGCTGGTCCAACAACAACCACTGCTGCAACAACAACACCTGCTCCGACTACAACCACTTCTGCAACAATGACAGCTACTCCAACTACAACCACTGCTGCAACAACAACAGTAGCAACAACAACTGCTGCTCCAACAACAACAACCACTGCTGCAACAACAACACCTGCTCCGACTGCAACAACGGCAGCAACGACAACAGGTGCTTCAACCACAACCAGTGCTGCAACAACAACACCTTCTCCGACTACAACCACTGCTGCAACAACAACAGCTGGTCCAACAACAACGGTAGCAACGACGACAGCTGCTCCAACCACAACCACTGCTGCAACAACGACAACTGCTCCAACGACAACACCTGCTCTGACTACAACCACTGCTGCAACTACGACAGCTGCTTCAACTACAACCACTGCTGCAACAACAACAGCAGCAACAACAACTGCTGCTCCAACAACAACAACCACTGCTGCAACAACAACACCTGCTCCGACTGCAACAACGGCAGCAACGACAACAGGTGCTTCAACCACAACCACTGCTGCAACAACAACACCTTCTCCGACTACAACCACTGCTGCAACAACGACAGCTTCTTCCAACTACAACCACTGCTGCAACAACAACTGCTGCTCCAACAACAACAACCACTGCTGCAACAACAACACCTGCTCCAACGACAACACCTGCTCTGACTACAACCACTGCTGCAACTACGACAGCTGCTTCAACTACAACCACTGCTGCAACAACAACTGCTGCTCCAACAACAACAACCACTGCTGCAACGACAACACCTGCTCCGACTACAACAACGGCAGCAACGACAACAGGTGCTTCAACCACAACCACTGCTGCAACAACAACACCTTCTCCGACTACAACCACTGCTGCAACAACAACAGCTGGTCCAACAACAACGTGCAGCAACAACGACAGCTGCTCCAACCACAACCACTGCTGCAACAACGACACCTGCTCCAACGACAACACCTGCTCTGACTACAACCACTGCTGCAACAACGACAGCTGCTCCAACGACAACCACTGCTGCAACAACAACAGCAGCAACAACAACTGCTGCTCCAACAACAACAACCACTGCTGCAACAACAACACCTGCTCCGACTGCAACAACGGCAGCAACGACAACAGGTGCTTCAACCACAACCAGTGCTGCAACAACAACACCTTCTCCGACTACAACCAATGCTGCAACAACAACAGCTGGTCCAACAACAACGGTAGCAACGACGACAGCTGCTCCAACCACAACCACTGCTGCAACAACGACACCTGCTCCAACGACAACACCTGCTCCGACTACAACAACGGCAGCAACGACAACTGCTGGTCCAACAACAACCACTGCTGCAACAACAACACCTGCTCCAACTACAACCACTGCTGCAACAACAACAGCAGCAACAACAACTGTTGCTCCAACAACAACAACCACTGCTGCAACAACAACACCTGCTCCGACTACAACAACGGCAGAAACGACAACAGGTGCTCCAACCACAACCACTGCTGCAACGACAACAGGTGCGCCGACTACAACAACGGCAGCAACGAAGGCTGCTGGTCTAACAACAACCACTCCTACAACGACAACAGCTGCTAAGACTACAACAATCGCACCAACCACAACCACTGCTGCAACTACGACAGCTGCTCTGACTACAACCACTGCTGCAACAACAACAGCTGGTCCAACAACAACGGTAGCAACAACGACAGCTGCTCCAACCACAACCACTGCTGCAACAACGACACCTGCTCCAACGACAACACCTGCTCCGACTACAACAACGGCAGCAACGACAACTGCTGGTCCAACAACAACCACTGCTGCAACAACAACACCTGCTCCGACTACAACCACTGCTGCAACAACGACAGCTACTCCAACTACAACCACTGCTGCAACAACAACAGCAGCAACAACAACTGCTGCTCCAACAACAACAACCACTGCTGCAACAACAACACCTTTCTCCGACTACAACCACTGCTGCAACAACAACAGCTGGTCCAACAACAACGGTAGCAACGACGACAGCTGCTCCAACCACAACCACTGCTGCAACAACGACACCTGCTCCAACGACAACACCTGCTCTGACTACAACCACTGCTGCAACTACGACAGCTGCTTCAACTACAACCACTGCTGCAACAACAACAACAGCAGCAACAACAACTGCTGCTGCAACAACAACAACCACTGCTGCAACGACAACACCTGCTCCGACTGCAACAACGGCAGCAACGACAACAGGTGCTTCAACCACAACCACTGCTGCAACAACAACACCTTCTCCGACTACAACCACTGCTGCAACAACGACAGCTGCTCCAACTACAACACCTGCTCCAACGACAACACCTGCTCAGACTACAACAACGGCAGCAACGACAACTGCTGGTCGAACGACAACCACTGCTGCAACAACAACACCTGCTCCGACTACAACCACTGCTGCAACAACGACAGCTGCTCCAACTAGAACCACTGCTGCAACAACAACAGCAGCAGCAACAACAACTGCTGCTCCAACAACAACAACCACTGCTGCAACAACAACACCTGCTCCGACTACAACAACGGCAGCAACGACAACAGGTGTTCCAACCACAACCACTGCTGCTACGACAACAGGTGCGCCAACTACAACAATGGCAGCAATGAAGGCTACTGGTCCAACAACAACCACTCCTGCAACGACAACAGCTGCTCAGACTACAACAATAGCACTAACCACAACCACTGCTGCAACTACGACAGCTGCTCCGACTACAACCACTGCTGCAACAACGACAGCTGCTCCAACTACAACACCTGCTCCAACGACAACACCTGCTCAGACTACAACAACGGCAGCAACGACAACTGCTGGTCGAACGACAACCACTGCTGCAAACACAACACCTGCTCCGACTACAACCACTGCTGCAACAACGACAGCTGCTCCAACTAGAACCACTGCTGCAACGACAACACCTGCTCAGACTACAACAACGGCAGCAACGACAACTGCTGGTCCAACAACAACCACTGCTGCAACAACAACACCTGCTCCAACTACAACCACTGCTGCAACAACGACACCTGCTCCAACGACAACACCTGCTCCGACTACAACAATGGCAGCAACGACAACTGCTGGTCCAACAACAACCACTGCTGCAACAACAACAACAGCAGCAACAACAACTGCTGCTGCAACAACAACAACCACTGCTGCAACGACAACACCTGCTCCGACTGCAACAACGGCAGCAACAACAACAGTTGCTTCAACCACAACCACTGCTGCAACAACAACACCTTCTCCGACAACAACCACTGCTGCAACAACGACAGCTGCTCCAACTACAACACCTGCTCCAACGACAACACCTGCTCAGACTACAACAACGGCAGCAACGACAACTGCTGGTCGAACGACAACCACTGCTGCAACAACAACACCTGCTCCGACTACAACAACGGCAGCAACGACAACAGGTGTTCCAACCACAACCACTGCTGCAACGACAACAGGTGCGCCAACTACAACAATCGCACTAACCACAACCACTGCTGCAACAACGACAGCTGCTCCGACTACAACCACTGCTGCAACAACGACAGCTGCTCCAACTACAACACCTGCTCCAACGACAACTGCTGGTCGAACGACAACCACTGCTGCAACAACAACACCTGCTCCGACTACAACCACTGCTGCAACAACGACAGCTGCTCCAACTAGAACCACTGCTGCAACGACAACACCTGCTCAGACTACAACAACGGCAGCAACGACAACTGCTGGTCCAACAACAACCACTGCTGCAACAACAACACCTGCTCCAACTACAACCACTGCTGCAACAACAACAGCAGCAACAACAACTGTTGCTCCAACAACAACAACCACTGCTGCAACAACAACACCTGCTCCGACTACAACAACGGCAGAAACGACAACAGGTGCTCCAACCACAACCACTGCTGCAACGACAACAGGTGCGCCGACTACAACAACGGCAGCAACGAAGGCTGCTGGTCTAACAACAACCACTCCTACAACGACAACAGCTTCTAAGACTACAACAATCGCACCAACCACAACCACTGCTGCAACTACGACAGCTGCTCTGACTACAACCACTGCTGCAACAACAACAGCTGGTCCAACAACAACGGTAGCAACAACGACAGCTGCTCCAACCACAACCACTGCTGCAACAACGACACCTGCTCCAACGACAACACCTGCTCCGACTACAACAACGGCAGCAACGACAACTGCTGGTCCAACAACAACCACTGCTGCAACAACAACACCTGCTCCGACTACAACCACTGCTGCAACAACGACAGCTGCTCCAACAACAACCACTGCTGCAACAACAACAGCAGCAACAACAACTGCTGCTCCAACAAAAACAACCACTGCTGCAACAACAACACCTGCTCCGACTACAACAACGGCAGCAACGACAACAGGTGCTCCAACCACAACCACTGCTGCAACGACAACAGGTGCGCCGACTACAACAGTAACAACGACGACAGCTGCTCCAACCACAACCACTGTTGCAACAACGACACCTGCTCCAATGACAACACCTGCTCCAACGACAACACCTGCTCCAACGACAACACCTGCTCTGACTACAACAACGGCAGCAACGACAACTGCTGGTCGAACGACAACCACTGCTGCAACAACAACACCTGCTCCGACTACAACCACTGCTGCAACAACAACTGCTGGTCGAACGACAACCACTGCTGCAACAACAACAGCAGCAACAACAACTGCTGCTCCAACAACAACAACCACTGCTGCAACAACAACACCTGCTCCGACTGCAACAACGGCAGCAACGACAACAGGTGCTTCAACCACAACCAGTGCTGCAACAACAACACCTTCTCCGACTACAACCACTGCTGCAACAACAACAGCTGGTCCAACAACAACGGTAGCAACGACGACAGCTGCTCCAACCACAACCACTGCTGCAACAACGACACCTGCTCCAACGACAACACCTGCTCTGACTACAACCACTGCTGCAACTACGACAGCTGCTTCAACTACAACCACTGCTGCAACAACAACTGCTGCTCCAACAACAACAACCACTGCTGCAACGACAACAGGTGCTTCAACCACAACCACTGCTGCAACAACAACACCTTCTCCGACTACAACCACTGCTGCAACAACAACAGCAGCCAAAACAACAACTGCTGCTGCAACGACAACAGGTGCGCCTGCAACAACGGTAGCAACGACGACAGCTGCTCCAACCACAACCACTGCTGCAACAACGACACCTGCTTCAACTACAACCACTGCTGCAACAACAACTGCTGCTCCAACAACAACAACCACTGCTGCAACGACAACACCTGCTCCGACTACAACAACGGCAGCAACGACAACAGGTGCTTCAACCACAACCACTGCTGCAACAACGACAGCTGCTCCAACTAGAACCACTGCTGCAACGACAACACCTGCTCCGACTACAACAACGGCAGCAACGACAACTGCTGGTCCAACAACAACCACTGCTGCAACAACAACACCTGCTCCAACTACAACCACTGCTGCAACAACAACAGCAGCAACAACAACTGTTGCTCCAACAACAACAACCACTGCTGCAACAACAACACCTGCTCCGACTACAACAACGGCAGAAACGACAACAGGTGCTCCAACCACAACCACTGCTGCAACGACAACAGGTGCGCCGACTACAACAACGGCAGCAACGAAGGCTGCTGGTCTAACAACAACCACTCCTACAACGACAACAGCTGCTAAGACTACAACAATCGCACCAACCACAACCACTGCTGCAACTACGACAGCTGCTCTGACTACAACCACTGCTGCAACAACAACAGCTGGTCCAACAACAACGGTAGCAACAACGACAGCTGCTCCAACCACAACCACTGCTGCAACAACGACACCTGCTCCAACGACAACACCTGCTCCGACTACAACAACAGCAGCAACGACAACTGCTGGTCCAACAACAACCACTGCTGCAACAACAACACCTGCTCCGACTACAACCACTGCTGCAACAACGACAGCTACTCCAACAACAACCACTGCTGCAACAACAACAGCAGCAACAACAACTGCTGCTCCAACAACAACAACCACTGCTGCAACAACAACACCTGCTCCGACTGCAACAACGGCAGCAACGACAACAGGTGCTTCAACCACAACCAGTGCTGCAACAACAACACCTTCTCCGACTACAACCACTGCTGCAACAACAACAGCTGGTCCAACAACAACGGTAGTAACGACGACAGCTGCTCCAACCACAACCACTGCTGCAACAACGACACCTGCTCCAACGACAACACCTGCTCTGACTACAACCACTGCTGCAACTACGACAGCTTCTTCAACTACAACCACTGCTGCAACAACAACTGCTGCTCCAACAACAACAACCACTGCTGCAACGACAACACCTGCTCCGACTGCAACAACGGCAGCAACGACAACAGGTGCTTCAACCACAACCACTGCTGCAACAACAACACCTTCTCCGACTACAACCACTGCTGCAACAACAACAGCTGGTCCAACAACAACGGTAGCAACGACGACAGCTGCTCCAACCACAACCACTGCTGCAACAACGACACCTGCTCCAACGACAACATCTGCTCTGACTACAACCACTGCTGCAACTACGACAGCTGCTTCAACTACAACCACTGCTGCAACAACAACAGCAGCAACAACAACTGCTGCTCCAACAACAACAACCACTGCTGCAACGACAACACCTGCTCCGACTGCAACAACGGCAGCAACGACAACAGGTGCTTCAACCACAACCAGTGCTGCAACAACAACACCTTCTCCAACCACAACCACTGCTGCAACAACGACACCTGCTCCAATGACAACACCTGCTCCAACGACAACACCTGCTCCAACGACAACACCTGCTCCGACTACAACAACGGCAGCAACGACAACTGCTGGTCGAACGACAACCACTGCTGCAACAACAACACCTGCTCCGACTACAACCACTGCTGCAACAACGACAGCTGCTCCAACTAGAACCACTGCTGCAACGACAACACCTGCTCAGACTACAACAACGGCAGCAACGACAACTGCTGGTCCAACAACAACCACTGCTGCAACAACAACACCTGCTCCAACTACAACCACTGCTGCAACAACAACAGCAGCAACAACAACTGTTGCTCCAACAACAACAACCACTGCTGCAACAACAACACCTGCTCCGACTACAACAACGGCAGAAACGACAACAGGTGCTCCAACCACAACCACTGCTGCAACGACAACAGGTGCGCCGACTACAACAACGGCAGCAACGAAGGCTGCTGGTCTAACAACAACCACTCCTACAACGACAACAGCTGCTAAGACTACAACAATCGCACCAACCACAACCACTGCTGCAACTACGACAGCTGCTCTGACTACAACCACTGCTGCAACAACAACAGCTGGTCCAACAACAACGGTAGCAACAACGACAGCTGCTCCAACCACAACCACTGCTGCAACAACGACACCTGCTCCAACGACAACACCTGCTCCGACTACAACAACAGCAGCAACGACAACTGCTGGTCCAACAACAACCACTGCTGCAACAACAACACCTGCTCCGACTACAACCACTGCTGCAACAACGACAGCTACTCCAACAACAACCACTGCTGCAACAACAACAGCAGCAACAACAACTGCTGCTCCAACAACAACAACCACTGCTGCAACAATAACACCTGCTCCGACTGCAACAACGGCAGCAACGACAACAGGTGCTTCAACCACAACCACTGCTGCAACAACAACAGCTGGTCCAACAACAAGGTAGCAAGACAGCTGCTCCAACCAACAACCACTGCTGCAACAACAACACCTGCTCCAACGACAACACTGCTCCAACGACAACACCTGCTCCAACGACAACACCTGCTCCAACTACAACAGGGCAGAAACGACAACAGGTGCTCCAACAACAACCACTGCTGCAACGACAACAGGTGCACCGACTACAACAACGGCAGCAACGAAGGCTGCTGGTCTAACAACAACCACTCCTACAACGACAACAGCTGCTAAGACTACAACAATCGCACCAACCACAACCACTGCTGCAACTACGACAGCTGCTCTGACTACAACCACTGCTGCAACAACAACAGCTGGTCCAACAACAACGGTAGCAACAACGACAGCTGCTCCAACCACAACCACTGCTGCAACAACGACACCTGCTCCAACGACAACACCTGCTCCGACTACAACAACAGCAGCAACGACAACTGCTGGTCCAACAACAACCACTGCTGCAACAACAACACCTGCTCCGACTACAACCACTGCTGCAACAACGACAGCTACTCCAACAACAACCACTGCTGCAACAACAACAGCAGCAACAACAACTGCTGCTCCAACAACAACAACCACTGCTGCAACAACAACACCTGCTCCGACTGCAACAACGGCAGCAACAACAACAGGTGCTTCAACCACAACCAGTGCTGCAACAACAACACCTTCTCCGACTACAACCACTGCTGCAACAACAACAGCCGGTCCAACAACAACGGTAGTAACGACGACAGCTGCTCCAACCACAACCACTGCTGCAACAACGACACCTGCTCCAACGACAACACCTGCTCTGACTACAACCACTGCTGCAACAACAAC